GGTGAAACTCTGTCTCTACTAAAAATACAAAAATTAGGCAGGCATGGTGGTGTGCACCTGTAATCCCAGCTACTTGGGAGGCTGAGGCAGGAGAATTGCTTGAACCTAGGAGGCAGAGGTTGCAGTGAGTCAAGATTGTGCCACTGCACTTCAACCTGGGCGACAAAGTGAGACATTGTCTCAAAAAACAAAGGGTAACTATGGCAATACAATCAGTATGGCCACACTGGTACAGATTAAGTGTTGAAAAGTACGTAAACACAGATGAGAAACATCTGCCTTATGCCTTAGCTTTTCATAAAATAAGGTGTATTTCTTAGAACTATTCTAAACACAGAAATTCTCAATTTGTCTAACATTCCTGTTTTTTAAAAACTTTTTTCGTACTCTTTTGAAATTGTATAAAAGTATAAAACACCTACAGATGAAGTTAGTATGCAATACTAATATCATTAAGGTTGTTAAGTATAATAAAAAATTAATTATTAGGAAAGGGAAGTCTACATACTGGAGGACCATAAAGAGGAACTAAGGGAAGAGAATCAAAAAATAATGAAACACTAGAAATAAAACACTAGATCACATCTTCAAAATAATAATTAACTAGGCTCAATGGCTCATGCCTATAATTCTAGCACTTTGGAAACCTGAGGAGCAATTCAGCTTCTGAGGGGGCAGGATCACTCGAGTCTAGGAGTTTGAGACTAGCTTGGGTAACAGAGCAAGACCTCATCTATACAAAAAAGAAATTTAAAAATCAGCTGTATGTGGTGGTGTATGCCTGTGGTCCCTGCTACTCAAGAGGCTGATGTGGGAGGCTGCAGTGAGTCATGATCATGCCACTGCACTTCAGCCTAGGCAAAAGAGCAAGACCTTTTAAAAATAAAATAAAATAATAATTGGATTAAATAACATAGAAATTAGGAGTAAACTACCTCTACCTGATAGATCACGCAAATTCCCATGACAATAGGCAAGCGGACCAAATGAATGATGAGTGATATAAAATGAAGGCAAAATAAGAAGTGAAGGCAAGAAGTTAAGAGGCTAAATTATGACTGATCTAAGATACTAGCTTTCGTTGCCTCTGAAAAAATATAGTTCAAATACAGTTTAGTGGGAATAACCCTCTGGAGTTAGCATTATGACGGGTTTGGGCCATAATCCTGAAAGACACAATCTCAAAAGGCATAATCCTGAATGTCGAAATCCGAAAAGAGCAAAATCCTTGAAGTCTAAAAATCGCCAAAATCCCAATACCAAAAGACAGAAATCCCAAAAACACAGTTCTGGAAGAAATAACTTCAAAAACAATTTTAAAGACATTGAGTTGCATTTTTAAAAGGGGATTTATTTGAGAAACAAAAACACAACAGAACAATTCATAGACCACTTTACACAATAAAATAGGCAATAATAACATATATTTTTGAAAGCATAAACACTTCAGTGTACTAATGACAGTCACACAGGTATAATAACAGTTATGAGCAGACAAACTGTGTTCACAAAAACATTAGTCAAAACATAGAAATTAGTCAAAAAGCAAAATGTATAAATGCATATCACTGTGGTTGGTAATTGTCTGCACCAAGCTTCATAAATAGTCATCTGAAATACCACCAGGGACAATCTAAGTCTTTTGATGAGCTAGATCAAAAACTTCTATGGGTCACCACATACACAGTTGCCTGAAGAGCTGAGATTTCAAGAAATAAATTTTATCTTTCACAAATAAATGATATACAAAAAGGACATGTCTTCATTTATCAAACAAATTTCAACATTTTTATGTATACACACAATGCTTATACACAGTCAATGCTATGATAATGAACTTCTGTGGAGTCAAATTTCTGATGTCCAAGGCAGCGGCAGAAGCGTCTGTCCCAGCTCTCAGAGAGAGACCAATTCAACTTCTGTATTTGCTCTCTCTGGGCCCTGGCCAATTGCAAAGTGGTCACCAATACTGAGGGCAGATTTTTACCACCTAGTCCGCTCAGACTCACACACTAATCTCTGGAAACAACCTCACAGACACAGCCCAAATAATGCTTTACTAGGTATTTTTTACTAAAGTCAAGTTGTCACCTATACTTAAATCCACAAGTCCATCCCTTGCCAATTTAGCACCCCTATGCATCTCCTTAAACCATACCTAATTTCCAAATAAAGAAAATAACAAGGTAGTAGTTCTGCCTAATATGATGCATCTAACATGATGCAACTATCTTGTGTACAACCAAAAACACATTAATCCCTTCCCTAGAATTAAGCTTTCAGGATTTCAGCATTAAGGATTTTGATCTTTCAAGATTTGAACATTGGGATTATGGCATTTGGGATTGTGTCTTTAAGGATTATGATCAATACCACATTATCACATGTATTATCTTTGGAATAAATGCAGAAATTATTAATTTGAAGATGTTAATTTTAGAAACTAATACTAACAATAGCTTATTCAAGTAACAGCAAAGCACATTCTTTTTGGACAAAATATATTTAAAAAATAAAAATCAGATACAAGACAATTTTATTTTAATTCCGAGTATTTACATTGACATAATGAATAACCTTTATTCTACCAAAAAGTAAACAAATTGGGAAGGCACTGACTTTAAAATCTAGATATTGCCTAACAGAGCAGCCATTTTCTAGGATTATTAATACTTACCTTTGCATATGTTGTGTTGTCTGCAAACTGGGATAGTATAATTTGGGGGTTTTTCAAATCAATACTTGCCATTCCTATTTCACCTCTGGCAAGTCCTCTCCCTTCTACAACAGCTACAATAACTGATGGGCAGTGTGCAGAAATCGCAGATGAGGATGAAGCTGTAAATTTTTAAATAAAGAAAAGATATAAACATTGATAATAATCATTTCTATTTTTTATTTATTTTTTTATTTTTTTGAGACGGAGTTTTGCTCTTGTTGCCTAGGCTGGAGTGCAATGGCGTGATGTTGACTCACCACAACCTACACCTCCTGGATTCAAGTGATTCTCCTGCCTCAGCCTTCCAAGTGGCTGGGATTACAGGCATGCAACACCATGCCCGGCTAATTTTTGTATTTTCAGTAGAGACAGGGTTTCGCCATGTTAGTCAGGCTGGTCTCAAACTTCTGACCTCAGGTAATCCACCCGCCTCGGCTTCCCAAAGTGCTGGGATTACAGGCATGAGCCACCACACCCAACCTGATAATAATCATTTCTCATTCTTTCACATAAGATCTTAAAGCATATCTAGTCTAGGACATGGCTACTGTATTAACAGACAAGGAAATAACCATTTTTTTCTCATCAAAAAATAACTTTTCATTACTAGACCAAATAAAAATGTTAATTCTCAGAGCATTTTGCCAAAAAGTGACTTCACAATTAGAAATAACAAATTTTAAATTGTCTATTTTCTATTTTATTGGAATGGAGTCATAAAAGGACTTGGGTCAGAAAACAGATTATTTACCTTATTCTGTCATTTAAAAGCTATTTGGAGACTGGGTGTGGTGGCTCAACCCTGTAATCCCAGTACTTTGGGAAGCCGAGGTGGGTGGATCACCTGAGGTAAGGAGTTTGAGATCAGCCTGCCCAACATGGCAAAACCCCATTTCTACTAAAAATACAAAAATTAGCCAGGTGTGGCGGCGTGTGCCTGTAATCCCAGCTACTGGGGAGGATGAGGCAAGAGAATTGCTTGAAACTGGGAGGTGGAGTTTGCAGTGAGCTGAGATTGTGCCACTGCACTCCAGCCTGGGTGACAGAGTGAGACTCCATCTCAAAAAATAAAAAAATAAAATAAAAGCTATTTGGGACTGGGCATGGCAGCTCACCTGTAATCCTGGCACTTAGGAAGGCCAAGGTGGGAGGATTACTTGAGCCCAGGAGTTTGAGACCAACCTGGACAACATAACAAGATGTTAGCTCTAAAAAAAACCCTGAAAAATAGTTGAGTGTAGTGGCATGTATCTCCATGGTCCCAGTTACTGAGGAGGCTGAGATGGGAGGCTTGCTTGAGCCCAGGAGGTTGAGACTGCAGTGAGCTGCGTCCATGCCACTGCACTCCAGCCTGGGTGACAGAGCAAGAACTTCTCAAAAAAAAAAAAACAAAAAAATTAAGCATTATATAACTATGAATTCCAATTATGAGATACCTGTGTAATGTGGAAATTAAAATTATAATAACATATCCAACATTTATTAAGTGCTTACTAAGTGTCAAGAATGTTCTAAGTTCTTTAATTAGTTTAATTCACATAATTATTACAACAATCCTATTAAATAGACACCATCATTTTCTCCACTTAGCTATAAGGAGACTGAGACATCAATGTAACTGGTAGAGACAGCATTTGCACCCAGGCAGTCTAGTTCCAGAGCTGGTGCTATGAACCATTACATACATTACTGATTTTGAGATCTGTGCCTTACAAACTATGAATGCTCAGGTAAATTTTTTAAACTTTTAAAACTACCATTTCTTCATCTATAAATTAGAAATACCAAACTTTTTCACAAGATTATTATAAGAATTAATGTAATGATATAGAAGTGTTTTACAAAGTATATGAAATTACTCAAATATAGGGCATTATTAGCATATGAAAAAAGTCAGACTAAAAATTTATTTTTTCTTTGTTTTTTTTTTCCAGACCAAAAATTTCTAAAATTTTATTTTCAAAGACGCAAACTAGTCTTTTGTTCCCTTGTCAACCTTTTAATTAACTCCTTTTCCTCCCTCTTTTCCCTCCCTGACCTGGATTCATTTCTTCTTCCATTCTTCTATTACAATGCCCACAAAAAACTTAAGTATTTATGCTATCTGAGTCAACAGTAAACTTAGGGATTCACTTAAAAATCTATGTGTTCAGGTCTCAGAAACCTTTTCCCCATGAACGTTATGTTATAAATGGTGATTAAGTTTATATTAAACCTACAGAAGTCAGTTTAAACTCTGTAATAGAGTATGACCTTCCTATTTTTAATTAGAAAATAAAAACCAAGTACCAGTTGAAATTCAGTACACAGAGAAGACATTTCCTAGAAGGTTTTAAAAGTACATTTATGCTGTTATCTCTCTGTTGTAAATAATATAATAATGAGCATCGTAATGCATAAAGCTTTTTTCTGGTTTTCTTATTATTTCCTTAAAATGCACCCTTAGAACTCAAATTACTGAAACAAAGCATATTTTTAAGGATCTCAGATATATTGCCAAATTTCTTTTGAGAACTGGACTAATTTTTAATTCCATCAATAGTGTATGAGGAAAGCCAATCTTACTGTATCCTCGTCATTACTAACTTCTAGAATTCATTATGACTATGATTATTGGCTAATTTAATGGACTGCCACTAAAATCTGTATTTTTAAAAGTACTACTGAAACTGAACATAATTTAATATATCCATTGTTATCTATATTGTTTCCTTTTTAGAGATGTTTACATCATTTTATACAATGTTTACTAGGTCTTAAGGTTTTCCAGTATATTTTTATGAGAATTGTATAAATCAATGACAGTAATTTTACAGTTGCTACTAATCTTGATACTTTCGTTATCTCAAAAATTTCTATTTTTGCATAGACAATCTTTCTCTGTATAATTTCTTCCACTGCTTTTCTGCTAAGAAACTCCTCCTTCCTTGCTTGAGATATTCTATATTCATTACTATTTTCTTATACTTTTTGACTTTTTTTTTTTTTTGAAACAGTCTGGCTCTGTCACCCAGGCTGGAGTGCAATGGCATGAAATCATGGCACACTGCGCCTCAAACTCCTGAGGTCAAGTGGTCTTCCCATCTTAGCCTTCTGAGTAGCTAGAATGACAGTCATGCCACCACACCTGGCAAATTTTAATTTTTTTTGTAGAGACGAGGTCTCACTTGTTGACCATGCTGGACTGCCTTCAAGCAGTTCTCCCATCTTAGTTTCCCAGTGTTGGGATTATAGGCATGAGCCACCAAGTCCGGCCTGTTCATTTTGATCTCTCATCTGGGCAGAATTTTCAGCAGTACATTTGGTTGTTTACCATGTCTGGAATGAGAGATGGCCAGAAGTACAGATTTAGATTCATTTATAAGCAGTTGATAATGGTTTACCTAGATGGCTGGGACTTGGAAGAAATATGATTGACAGATTGGTGACAAGATCATTTGAGCATATAAATGGATCTCTAAGATTTAAAATATAAATCTTAAATTTAAAATTTAAAATATTTGTATCCCATGTGAATGTCTACCATCTATTGTAGAGGAAATTCTTAATCAAGAGGACAAAATAATGCAATCTATAGATACCAGTTAGCCTCTTATTTCAATTCTCCCTAAAGGATCTGTTGGTTCAGTATAACTATAATTTCAATCAAAACCTCAATGTGTTTTTTGGTGGAGCTTGAAAACTTGGCCCAAAATTGATATGGAAAAGCAAAGGGCCAAGAAGAACTAAGGCTACTCTAAAGAAAAATAAGGTAGCCTGTGGAGGGTAATGGTGGTAGGGCTGTCCTACAAAAAAATATTAAGACTTATAATAAAGCTAAAGATGGTGTGATACTGGCACATAGCTAGACATAATGACCCATCGGAGTTAAAAAAGAACTGGAAATATAGAAATTAACAGAAAAGGCCAGGCGCGGTGGCTCATGTTTGTAATCCCAGCACTTTGGAAGGCTGAGGTGGGCGGATCACAAGGCCAGGAAATCGAGACCATCCTTGCTAACACGGTGAAACCCCATCTCTATTAAAAATACAAAAAATTAGCCGGGCATGGTGGCGGGTGCCTGTAGTCCCAGCTACTTGGGAGACAGAGCCAGGAAAATGGCGTGAACCTGGGAGGCGGAGCTTGCAGTGAGCCGAGATCGCACCACTGCACTCCAGCCTGGGTGACAAAGCGAGACTCCTTCTCAAAAAAAAAAAAAAAAAAAAAAAAAAAATTTAGTATTCAGAATATATAGAGTATTGCTACAAATCCAGAAAAATAAGCCTAAGGAAAAATGAGTAAAACACATGAACATTAATTTCACGGAATATTATTAAAGATATATAGCCCAAAAGTACAGAAAAAGATAATCTCACTAGTAATTAGGAAAATGCAAACTCAGACTATAGGTAGTATTTAACTGTTAGGTTGAAAAATACTGAGTCTGACAATATCAAATGTTGAAGTGGACTCTTACACATTATTAATAGAGCATACCATAATAACCAATAAATTAACCAATAAAATTATGATTATGATTATTGGCCAATAATAATCTTATGATGATGATGATCATTAAATTGGCCAATAATCATAATAAATTTTAGAAGTTAGTAATGATGAGGATAGAGTAAGATTGGCTTTCCTTATACACTATTGATAGAATTAAAAATTGGCCCAGTTCTCGAAAGAAATTTGGCAATATATCTGAGATCCTTAAAACCTGGTAATTTTGGCCAGGCATGGTGGCTCACAACTGTAATCCCAGTACTTTAGGAGGCTGAGGTGGGCAGATCACTTGTGGTCAGAAGTTCAAGATCAGCCTGGCCAACATGGCAAAACCCCATTTCTACTAAAAAAACCAAAAATTAGCCGAGTATGGTGATGCACGCCTGTAATCCCAGCTACTTGGGAGGCTGAGGCAGGAGAATCACTTGAACCCAGGACGTGGATGTTGCAGCGAGCCGAGATGGCACCACTGCACTCCAGCCTGGACAACAGAATGAGGCTTCGTCTCAAAAACAAAACAAAAAATGGTAATTAAAAAAAAAAATAAAAAAGGTAATTTCCCTAATTTCCCTATGTTTCAGTAATTTGACTTCTAAGGGTGCGCTTTAAGGAAATAATAAGAGACTCAGAAAAAAGCTTTATGCATTAGGATGCTCATTATTATGTTATTTACAACAGAGGGATAACAGCATAAACGTATTTTTAGAACCTTAGAGATGTCTTTTGTATGTCTGTTGAATTTCCACTGGAACTTGGTATTTATTTTCTACTTAAAAATAAAAAGGTCAGGGTCAGGCGTGGTGGCTCACACCTGTAATCCCAGCACTTTGGGAGGCCAAGGTGGGCGGATCATGAGGTGAGGAGTTCAAGACCAGCCTGACCAATATGATGAAACCCCATCTCTGTTAAAAATACAAAAGTTAGCCGGGCATGGTGGCAAGCGCCTGTAGTCCCAGCTACTCAGGAGGCTGAGGCAGAAGAATCACTTGAACCTGGGAGGCAGACGTTGCAGTGAGCCGAGATCACACCATTGCATTCCAGCCTGGGTGACACAGCGAGATTCTGTCTCAAAAAATTTAAAAACAAAAACCAAAAAACAGAAGGTCATATTCTACTACAGAGCTAAAACTGACTTCTGTAGATCTAATATAAACTTAACCACCATTTATACATTGGTAGAACTACTTTAAAAAGTAATTTATCATTATCTTGTAAATATATGCATTTACATAACACACCCTGTAACCAAGAAATTCTGTTGTATATACCTTAGAAAACTGTTATACATGGAAACCTATTTTATCTATCTGCTCTTCAAGAAAATCTCACAGATTTAGATAAAAATTAAAATTTAAGTATAAAAAAACCACTCACTAGTAATATCAGGGTCAACTTTTAGATTTAAATGACATCACGTATAAAAGACAGAGGTTTCTCTTTCTTGTGTGTTTTTTGTCAGAATGGTTAAAATAATGTAGACCTGCATTTATTACCAAACAATATCAGAAACTATATTGCCTTATTAATCTAGACTCAAATTTTGGATAGAGGTAAACTAATGTATTTATTTTTCATTCATATCAGTTATAGATAAATTCAAATGAACTCGATAACCCTAATTTATAATTTACAAAACTTTTAAGTTTCAAAAGATCATCTAGGTTAATCTTCCACTTATTTTACCTGAATATCCCATTTGTGGTGTCCAGCTCTTATAACTTGATCTCTGAGGATTTCCAGTAGACAATGGAGTTTTAAGTGTTTGAGGATAATTAGTATCTCGTGCAGAAGATGAGCTTGCACCAAAAGTAAAGTTTGATGCAACTGTGTTTTCTGCATAAGCTCTTTTGTTTCCAAAGTATGAACCTAAATTTGAAAAATTAACAGTCAATTCTTAAATATTTGAATTATGCAATGATGTATTAATCATTATAATTTATACCATGTTCACTTTCTTCTTTTTTCCTTTTCTTTTTTTTTTTTTTTGAGACAGAGTCTTGCTCTTGTTGCCCAGGCTGTAGTATAGTGGCATGATCTTGGCTCACTGCAACCTCTACCCCCTGAGTTCAGACAATCCTCCTGCCTCAGCCTCCTGAGTAGCTGGGATTACAGGCACCCACCACCATGCCTGGCTAATTTTTGTATTTTTAGTAGAGTCGGGGTTTCACCATGTTGGCTGGGCTGGTCTCAAATTCCTCACCTCATGATCCGCCAGCCTCGGCCTCCCAAAGTGCTGGGATTAGAGGCGTGAGCCACTGCACCCAGCCACTATGTTCACTTTCTATAAAACTTCATGTGAAAATGATTTTAAAAAAAAACAGATTATAACAAAATTAATGACATTATTGATAAATATACGAAAATATGCTAATATAACTTTTGCCTCTACAAGTTCACTGTAACCACTCTGGCTAAAATCATAAATTACCCTTTAATCTTCAAATATACCAGATATGTTGCTAAGGTGTGAATATCTGTCCCCTCCAAAACTCACATTGAAATTTAATCCCCAGTGTGGCAGGAGAGAGGTGGGGCCTTTAAGAGGTGATGGGACATGAGGGCTCTGCCTTCATGAATCAATTAATCCATTCATGAGTTAATAGATTAATGGGTTATCACGAGAGTAGGACTGGTGGCTTTACAAGAAGAGGAGGAGAGACCTGAGTTACCATGCTCAGCTCCCTCTCCATGTGATGCCCTGTACCACTGCAGGACTCTACAGAGACTCCAACAGCACAAAGGCCCTCACTAAATGTGCCTCCTTTGACCTTGGACTTCCCAGCCTCCAGACTTCCAAGAAATATGTTTTCTTTCTTTATAAATCACCCAGTTTCAAGTATTCTGTTAAAAGCAACAGAAAATAGACTAAGACATATGTTTCATTTGTATAATAATTATTAGACCTCTTTTAACCTTCTCCTGTTAATTTCTTCATTGAAATTCTCTCCCCCATGCAAATGGCATTGTAGAGTTTTAGACTCAACTGGCTTCAGTTCCTTATTTAGGTACTTATCTACTGATGTAAGATATTACCTGTTTTACAGGATTGTCATAAAATTTTTAAATAATGTACATAAACAACCTAGCATAGCCTCTTGGCACACAGAAGTTCTAAAATAAAATTTAAAATGTCTGGGCTCTGTTCTCCTATTCTCTTTGATTTCCACAACTCTCTATCTTGAATTCTCTTTAAACCACTTTTAGTTTCCTTTGCCATCTCCTTTTTCCTCTGCCTCTTAACTGTTGGCCTCCAGGGCTCTATACTTTTAAGCTTTCCCTCACAAATCAACATTATACATCTCCAGACATCTCATCTCTCCTCTTTGTTTCTATTAAAATCTATTTTCTGACAACTCTCAAGCCTTCGTATATAGCTGTAACTACTCTCTTAAATTGTAAACCAGGGGTTGCTGAACTTTTAATTTTTCCTTTTTGTCTCTGTGTGAGATTCTCATTCTGTAGCTTAGGCTGAAATGCAGTGGTCCAATCTTGGTTAAATGCAGTCTTGAACTGCTGGGCTCAAGCAATCCTCCTACCTCACCCTCCCAAGTAGCTGGGACTATAAGCTCATGCCACCATGCCAGGCTAATTTTTTGTATTTTTGTAGAGATGGGGTTTTGGCATGTTTCCCAGGCTGGTCTCAAACTCCTGGGCTCAAGTGATCTTTCCACCTCAGCCTCACAAAATGCTGGGATTATAATCGGGAGCCACCGTGCCCAGTCTATTTTACTGTCTTATAAAGACAAGTTCTCACTTTGTCGCCCAGACTGGAGTGCAGTAGTGTGATCACAGCTCACTGCAGCCTCAAGCTCATGGGCTCAAGTAACCTCCTGCCTCAGCCTCTTGAGGAACTATGGACTATAGGTGCACCTCACCACACACAGCTAATTTTTTTTTTTATATAGAGACAGGGTCTTGCTATGTTGCCCAGGCTGATCTCAAACTCCTGGCCTCAAGCAATCCTCCCACTTCAGCCTCCCAAAGCACTGAGATTACAAGCATGAGCCACCATGCCTCAGCATAAACTTTTTTTTTTTTTTTTTTTTTTGAGGTGGAGTTTCACTCTTGTTGCCCAGGCTGGAGTGCAATGGCGCAATTTCAGCTCACTGCAGCCTCTGCCTCCCAGATTCAAGCAATTCTCCTGCCTCAGCCTCCCAAGTAGCTGGCATCATAGGTGTGCACAACCACACCTGGCTGGTTTTCTCCTTTTTTTTTTTTTTGTATCTTTAATAGAGGCAGGGTTTTGTCATGTTGGCCAGGCTGGTCTCAAACTCCTGGCCTCAGGTGATCCGCCCACCTTGGCCTCCCAAAGTGCTGGGATTACAGGCATGAGCCACCATGCCCAGCCCATAAACTTTTAAATAAAGGACCAGATGGCAAATATTTTAGGCTTTGTGGGCCATATAATCACTGTAACAATTACTCAGCTCTGACACTATCACAGAAAAGCAGTCATAGATAATACATAAATAAATGAGAATGGCTATGTTTTAATTTCAATTTTAATTTAAATAAATTAAAATGGCTTTATTTCTATATACTGAATTCTAAATTTCATATAATTTTAATATCACAAAATATTCTTTTGATTTTTTAATGCTTCAAAAGTGCAAAAACCATTCTCAGCTCTATACCTGCATTGTTCAATAAAGTGGCACATGTGAGTATTTAACTAAAGCAAAATTAAATACAATTTAAATTCTGTTCCTCAGTCACACTAGCAACATTTTCAAATGCTCAAAAGCCACATATGGCTACTAGTTACCATAACGGACAGCATCAGTATGAAACGTTTCTATTATCACAGAATATTCTATCAGATGATGTAGCTCTAGAACACTATATCTATCTCTTGGGCATAAAACTTTAGATATCTTCCCAGCATTCTAAACGTTCAGAAGTGAACTCTATCTTTCCCTCAAAATTAATTCTTTATTACCAGTATGGTCAGTTGTACCAGCTTGGCCCTTGTCACTCAAGTCATAAGCTTAGGAGACATTCTCAACTCCTCCTTCATCAACCCTAATATTCAGTGACTGAGTCCTAGAATTCTTTTTTTTAACATCACTAAAATTTAAATCCCTCTCTACTCCTCCCAGCCCATTTTAAGCCTGTATCTTCTTTGGTCCTTGTGCAAGTCTCCTACTTCTTCTCCTTGCTTCCAGTATTACACCTCTCTAATCTATTCTTCAAATCATCACCAGTAATCTTTCTGAAAAACAAATCTGATCAGTATCTCTTTCTTATAATTCCCATGTGTCTCCCCATACTCACCATACGGTAAAATATAACTTCATTATATGGGTTCCAGCAGGAATTAATGATACACTCAAACTGGGATAATTTGATAAAAAGAATATTTGCAAAGGTGTGGACAGGGTGTAGGGGTGTTATCATAAAGAACCAGCATAAAATGTGCTCCATTAGCATTCCTAGGCTTTAGGGAGCTAAGGAAGAGTGGTTGCCAGAAACTGGAGATGGGGAAACTGGAGATGGAGAAGGCTGTTTCTTGTTCTCAGACGACTTTTAGACTATATGCCCTTTCTTGAAACTCATTCACTTGTCTTAATTCTCCTCCTACTTCCTTGACCTCTATTTTGCTACATAATCTTCATATTCTCCGCTCTGGTCCCAACATACTAGTAACTTTCAAATCCATATTTCCCTCAAGTTTCTCTCTTCTTAGCCCTAGTTTCCTATATTCAATTATTTTAATAAAAATATATGGATATCCCAGGGCTCTTCACACTCAGCATGTCCATAACAGAACTCATCATCTTCCCTCTAAAAGTTGCTTTGCCTACAAAATTCCCAGTATCAGAAACTACTACTACCATCTATCCAGTCACCAAAACCAGAGACCTCGTGTTGAACATGGGGGTCTCTGGGCAAAATTTGTCTCCCAGATCTAATTCTCACAACTATATCTACATCCAAGTTTATCTACATAGATCACTCTCCTGCTCTAGCCAAGCAAAATTATTTGCAGTTTTACATGACTCTTCTTTTCCTTTGCATGTGGTTTTCTCAAGAATGCACTCCAGCTTCTCTCCTCTTTCCCTTTGGCTGGCATTCTTCTTTCTACTTATTCTTCAAGACCAGTTCAAGGTGCACTTACTCTGTGAAACGTCTTTTCCCACTTTTGTCCCCATACTTTAATTATAAATACCTCAAAAATTGTAAATACCTCAAATACAGTTATCTCTTAAATGTGTATTTGTTGATTTTTAAGTCTGTCTTCTCTACTGAACCTTAAGTTCCTTGAGAGCGCAGATTATTATCCCCAGCTACTAACATAATTTGGACCTTTGTTCACCTATTTGGGCCTTGGTTCTATCTGTAAAACAGGAACAAAAAAATCTACTCTGCAGAATTATTGTGAGGATCAAAGATACCACCTGCCTAGTAAGAAGCCAGAACAAAGAAGATATATATAAATTAGTGAATGTTATCATTAGTGATAAAATAAGTGGGTGACAAAGCATCTGATGAAGAGAGGAATTAGATTGACAATGTGAACATGCATGTTGCTTTAGAGGAATTGCAAGTAGCTCAGCTTTGTTAGAAAGCAGGATAAATATTAAGAAATGATGGGGGATAAATCTGTAAAGATGAGAAACCAATCCTAATTGCTTTGGCTATCCTTCAAAAGAGTTTGATCTTTTACCTGCAGATACAGGTCTACTGATTCAAGTGGCAAGGGACATGATAAGATCATTTTCAACATAAGTAAGTGGTACAGTAAGTAAGCTAGAAGGACGGAAGAACACTTAGGAATTTGAGGGCTAGGTGCAGTGGCTCATGTCTGTAATCCCAGCATTTTGGGAGGCTGAGGCAGGAGGATCGCTTGAGCCTAGAAGATCGAGACCAGTCTGGGCAACGTAGGACGACACCGTCTCTATAAAAAAAATTTTAAAAATTGCCATCTGTAGGGGCATACACCTTGGTCCCAGCTACTCGGGAGACTGAGGTGGGAGGATCGCTTGAGCCCAGGAATTTGAGGCTGCAGTGAGTCATGATCATGCCACTGCACTCCAGTCTGTGCAACAGAGCAAGACTCTGTCTCAAAAAAAAAAAAAAAAAAAAGAGGAATTTAATTAATCATATAGTGAGTCTGAGGTATCCATTAGTCCATCAATAAAAACTTCAGAAGACAGTCTGAAATAAGTCTGGAGTGTAGATGAGATCTGAGTTGTGGAGTTATTCACATCTAGATAGAAGTGGCCTAGGAAGAAAAAAGCTTTAATGACACGCCCATAATTTGGGAACAAAGGTGAGCATAGCAATTCTCTAGGAGGCAGCAGAAAAACAGGGGCAAGTGGAATCAAGGAAGCCAAATTAAGAGAGTTTAAGAGAAGACCAGTCAAGAACATTAAATATAGGCCAGGCAGTGGTGGCTCATGCCTGTAATCCCGATGCTTGGGGAGAGCAAGGCAGGAGGAGCACTTGAGGCCAGGAGTTTGAGACCAGCCTGGGCAACATAGCGAGACTCTGTTTCTAAAAATAAAGAAATTAAGAACATTAAATGCAGCAGAAAGGTCACATGAGATGAACTGAAAAATGACCACTGGAGTTGGTATTTGTTACTTTACCATTGTGTTGCAATCGTGTGTGAAAAATGGTGATGCTTTGTCATGAATAGAGACTAGTAAAATAATAAATGATTTGAAGGACATGCATCTTTTTTGTTTCTTTGTTTTGAGTCAGGGTCTCACTGTGTCACCCAGGCTGAAATGCAGTGGCGCGATCTCGGCTCACGGCAGCCTCGACTTCCTGGACTCGCCATCCTCCCACCTCAGCCTCCTGAGTAGCTAGGACCACAGTCATGCGCCACCACACCCAGATAATTTTTGTATTTTTAGTAGAGATGGGGGATGGGGTTGGAAGGTTCACCATGTTGGCCAGGCTGGTGTAGAAAGAACTCCCGGCCTCAAGTGATCCGTCCACCTCGGCTTCCCAAAGTGTTGAGATTACAGGGGTCAGCCACCGCCCAGCACACATCTTTTAATACTAAACATATTATTTTCCTGAATTAGACGAAATGTTCAATTTATTCTATTTTATCCCACCCTAGCAGGATTTGGAGAATTAAATTCAGCAGTCAAAGATCAGCTCACCACTTCTATCAGCAAACTCACGCACAAACTGTCATTTGTCAGACACTCTGAGGGACGTTATGTGGAATACTTCAGCCTTCCTCAGAACTGAGCCATCCACAATCAAGGTCTTGCAATAGAACCAATTTGAAAAGTCAAGGCTTCTAATCACCCAGACCAAATTCCCAGGGCACTCTGATCTCACGCCCCAACCAAACCACAACTGAACTTCACTGTGGTAACCACCACGCACGTGTCCCTGAGCCTCCATGAACTGCCGGCCTCTAGCCTCAAGGAGACTCCTCCACCCAACCACTCCTTGCCTTGAGCTGGCCGGGAGCCTGGCGCGGGGCAGGGGAGGCTGCTGCTGCTGCTCCGGTCGCCCGCGGCTCCTGACGTGCCGGGAGGGGTGGATGCAGAGGCCACCTGGCCTGAAGGGTGGCTCTGAGGAGTCTCCTGGAGTCTGAAATTGTAGCGGGGACCCTGTGGTGAGCGGGTTTCTCCCGACGACGGGGAAACCGCCGGGGCAGAAGGCGAGGCTGATGAGATCTCAGGCCTCAGCATCCTCCCAAACCTTCCCTGACCCGAGAAGTGTGAGGTTTCTGAGGACCCCCTCGCGTAGCCCAACTACGGAAGCTGCGCAGCTGGAAAGAGCGGGAGAACTGCGCGCCGAAGAACTAAGCTGCACTGCGCAGGCGCATGCAGCCTCAGCTTTCCACATGGATTCACGTGCTTCAGGTCTACGACCCTGCTTCCAGCAGTTCCCAAACCCATCACTTTCCGCATGAACCTCACTGGAACCTCCTCAGCCTGCAGGTATCAGACTGACCAGAACTCTGCAAGGCCCATCAATTACCACCCAATTTGTTAGCCCCATTATTCTCACAGCACCCAATCTCCCTTATTGCAAAACGATACGTGCATTTCCCACACATCCAAGCACACTAGCTTATCTTGAAATGTAGAAACCACCAAACAGTACACCCAGTGCCTTTGACACAATGAGAACGTGTAATGCTCACACAGTATAACTCACCTAAAGTTTATCTTGTGACCAAATATAGGAAAGATCTGGTTATATTATCACAAGACAGTGTGCACATGGCCGTGTGCATAGTAGAGTAGGAAACAGGGACAGACTAACTGGGTAAGATCTCTGTTAACAGTTCCCGGTCCACTAATTTCTAGTACTGTGGTTTCTAACATATAAATCAGTTAATAGCATACTAGAAGTTCAAACTCCAGCTTTGCAATGGTGACCTTTAGAAAATTCCTTAAATAAGGCCAATAGTACCAACTTACCAGAGATCCGTGAATTAACCATGATGCAATTATCTGGATACTGTCATATAGAAGTTATTAGAAGACATTAATTTACACCACTACTGAAATCCTGTCACTGTTGAGTATCTCAATAAACCAGTTATGCACAGCAGTTTACCCACATGCAATGGCAACAGTCCTTAAGAACGTCTCTGTTCTTGGAATAATTATTGCACAGGGTATTCCAAACATACTTGAGAAAATCTCAATTTCCATCAAAAAACCTTATTTTCAGATTGGGAACGGTGGCTCCTGCCTGTAATCCCAGCACTTTGGGAGACTGAGGCCAGAGGATCACTTCACCTCAGGAGACCAGCCTGGGGAAGACACTGCCTGCCCCCAAAATTAAAATATCAGCTGGACATAGTGGGCATGGTGACAGGTGCCTGTAGTCCCTGGTACTCAAGAGGTTGAGGTGGAAGGACTGCTTGAGCCCAGGAGTTTAAGGTTGCAGTGAGCTGTGACTGCACTACACCCCAGCCTGGGGAACAAAGGAAGACCCTGTCTCTAAAAAATAAAACTTAAAAACAGAGAATACCTCATTTTCACCAAAACTGTAAACCCCTAAAGAGTAATTGTGCCCATTTTAGGCAGGGCGTGGTGGCTCATGCCTGTAATCCCAGCACTTTGGGAGGCCGAGGCGGGCGGATCACGAAGTCAGGAGATCGAGACCAGCCGACCAGCATGGTGAAACCCCGACTCTACTAAAATAACAAAAAAATTAGCCGGAAATGGAGGTGTGAGGCTGTAGTCCCAGCTACTCGGGAGGCTGAGGCAGAATTGCTCGAACCCGGCAGGGAGAGGTTGCAGCGAGCCGAGATCGTGCTGCTGCACTCCAGCCTGCACAACAGACTGTCTCAAAAAAAAAAAAAAAAAAAAGTGAATTGTACCCATTTTAGCTTTTTAAGAAAAAGATAGGTGCAAAAAAATACTGTGGCGACCATCAACTTAACTGTTAGTGTTTCCTTATTTGAAGATAACCCCGTCCTTGGGTAATTCTGATATATAAAATGCTAAAAAAAAATGTACAGTCCGAATCACAACCCCATTTTAAGATGGTAGACCGCCATTTAACCTAAGTCTGTGACTAATTCAGAATAACCATATTCAAACCTATGAATCATTTCCAAATTTCAACAGCCATTTATTTTGTGCATCATTTAATTCATGTATGGGTTCTATCCACTTTCATCAGTTAACATTCTTGTTGACAAACCATTTTACATCAACTTGCTATAGAACACATGAAAGGTATACATGGGAGAAAAATCAAGTAGAAACCTAGAGTTCTTCTACGTTAGCTCAGTTATTGAACATAAATAACAGACACAGAAGTATACACAAAAAACTGTAGTCAGAATAACAGGACTTCAGAATAAAGAGCAGAAAATAAAATACAGGTCTTTATTTTACAATATGTATAATTATATAATTTATTAAAATTAATTTAACACAATGTACAAAATATTAACAGTATTCATTTTTAGATTTAATAAGCACTTCAAATACAGAAATGTTAAAATGGCAAAACTATACTACGCAGCTTTCACTTTAATGAATCTAGCTCACTAGCTCAGGCTGAACATTCACTCTCTGAAGCACTTCTTCAGGCATGCAAAAGACAGGATTAACAGGTTTAATCTGTTCTTCTCCCAAAAGTGACAATCCAGCAATTCCAAATAAGGTATGAAAAGGATCCACCTATTTAAAAAAGAATTTATATACAGATTACAAAATGAAAACTTCTTTAACTTCAAATCATTAATACCTGACCTTTACCATATACTAATTTTGTTAGCAACAGGCGACAAGAAATTTCTGTAAGATTGTTCTATATCCTTCATACATTCTACGAGAAATAGAAAAAAAAAACTGCTTTCAAAGCAACACTTGGAATACCACCCTGGAAATCCATGGAACCATGAAGGAATGCGACACTAAAATAATTTATACAAATATGTCAGAAATATTACTTGCCATATCTCCTGGTCTGTCTGCAAATCCCCCCGTTTCTTCATCTTGACATGCTAAAATGAAATTACGTAGTTTCTCTCTATCAATCCAATGAAGTCTTCCAATTATCTTTAGGGAAGCCAGGACCCACCATGAATAGCATACATCTGGTAACTAGGAGGGAAAAAAGTTGCCACAATTTCATTCTCTTTTATTTCCCTAATTTTGAGAACAATTTAAAAGTGGATTAAGTCTCACTCTCAAGTATCTGATGTTCTAAGTGTCAAACCATGTGGAGGGACGAAATCCAGGGATATACTGACATGCAGGGTATGAAATACTTGCTTAGAATGAAAGATAATCAATTAATGGGTAAGAAGAGACCAAACTCCAATTCATAGGTAACCATGCTAAATATCTCAGTACTCACTGATAAGCATGCACCTACCTTGTTTCTATCTGCAACAAACACCTAACTCAGCCCCTTAACCAAGAAGCTAGTAGTATAATCATGAAATCCATGGGTACAGTTCTGTTTTTCTACCAGCACTGTCCAGGTGGGTACACACCTGCTTAAAATTCAACTAAACCCTAGCTCTTCAAAATATGGTGACATAAGTCTGTAAGGAAGAAAATCCCACCCAAGGCTGCATTTTAATGAGATCCTTGAATAACGCATAGACCCATTAGAAGCTGCCCTAGATTGTGAGCAAATGCAGGCCCAGGCACAGCCACCCATTTTTCTGTTGACAGTTCCTCAGGTTTTTTATTCCACTCTGTTGTAGACAGCAACTGTGGGTGTTTCTCTGCCCATTGTCACTCAGAAAAACTGAGGTTTAAAAATAAAAATACAGGCTGAGCACGGTGGCTCATGCCTGTACTCCCAGCACTTTTGGGAGGCTGAGGAGGGTGGATCACCTGAGGTCAGGGGTTTGAGACCAGCCTGACTAACATGATGAAACCCCATCTCTACTAAAAATACAAAATTAGATGGACGTGGTGGCGCACGCCTGTAATCCCAGCTACTGTACCACCACGTCCCATTCAGAGGGCACAGCAAGCTACAATCCTTGAGTCAAATCTAGACTATAGTATAGGAACAGATTTTACATTTGTAAATCATTTAAAAATAGTTCTGGGTCAGGTGCAGTGGCTCACGCCTGTAATCCCAGCACTCTGGAAGGCTGAGTCAGGCGGATCACAAAGTCAGGAGTTCGAGACCAGCCTGGCCAATATGGTGAAACCCTGTCCCTAATAAAAGTACAAAAATTAGCTGTGCGCCTGTAGTCCCAGCTGCTCGGGAGGCTGAGGCAGGAGAACTGCTTGAACCTGGGAGGCGGAGGTTGCAGTGAACTGAGATGGCGCCACTTCACTCCAGCCTGAGCAACAGAGCAAGATTCCATCTCAAAAAAAAAAAAAAAAATCTGACATATGAAATATGAGTATATCTGTCCATAATAATTTTAATTGGAACACAGTCATACTCATTCATTTCTTACCACTTATGGCTGCACTTGCTCTATAGGAAAATTACATAGTTGCAAATGAGTATTTACTGTTTGTCCCTTACAGACCTGATATAGGGACCTATCATGTGGAGGAAAATTTAATAATATCCTCTCTCCAAACTAAATTATCTGGGTATTCCTTAAATAAGAAGACTGCAAACAAAAATTCTGTAGCCTAATTTTTTAAAAATCCAATTTGCCAAAACCAACTGTCCTTAAACATGGAGATTCCTGTACAAGACTGTCTGGAAATGGACATTAGGATCAACGAGTATTTCAACTCATGGGGCTCTACTTTTGCCAAGGGGAGTCTTTTAGTAGGATGCATTACTGAAAATTTGCAAGAGGGAAAGTTAATAAATAAGCTCATGGCCAATTTACAATATTGAAATAGGCAAGACAAAGCTGCAGCATTCACTCAAGGTTCTAAAGTCAGCAGAACAGAGCTTATCAAACAATACCTTCTCTGGCCTTCCATTGAGCCCGCCTGAAGGTAACTGTCGTTCACAAAGCCACCAGCCAAGTAAATCAGAATTTACTTGATGCAACTGACTTGTAATAGCCAGAAATCCTGTGCAACAATAGATCTAAAATTACAGACATAAAGTATATGTGTATAATAATTTCTTGACAGTAAAAGTGATAAAACTACTCAAATTATTAAAACACCACTTTATATTTTAAGGTTTTTTTCTCGATCTAACACTTAAAATTCCAAGCATGTATTAATACCACATATCTGAACAAATCCAACCATAGTGTTACTAGTATGCAATTCTGTACTGAAATATTACTGTCAAAATTTCTTCATGGTTAGTAAATCACAGCCATTCACATATTCAGTGTTCTCTGACACAAGAAAGGAGGTTCATCATTTATCTCAGGGCAGAAAGAA